CACTGCAGTCAGAATGGCCATTATTATTATTTATTTATTTTTTTTCTGAGTCAGGTTCTTTTCATACAGGCTGGAGTGCAGTGTCACAATCTGGGCGCACTACAGAGAATAGCTATTATTAAAAAGTCATAATAACAGATGCTGGTGAGGCTGTGAAGAAAAGGGAACACTTACACATTGTTGGTAAGAATATAAATTAATTCAGCCACTGTGGAAAGCAATTTGAAGATTTCACAAAGAACTTAAAACAGAGCTACCATTCAACCCAGCAATCCCATTACTGGAAATATGCTCCAAAGAAAACAAATCATTCTACCAAAAAGACATTTGTATGTCCATTACAGCTCTATTCACAGTAGTAAAGACTTGGAATCAACCTAAGTGCCCAACAGCAGTGGACTAGATAAAGAAAATGTGGTACACATGCACCACAGAATACTATGCAGCCATTAGAAAGAAAAAATCATGTCCTCTGCAGGAACATGGATGCAGCTGGAGGCCATAATCTCAGGTAAATTGATGCAGGAACGGAAAACCAAATACCTCCTGTTCTCACTTATAAGTGGGAGCTAAACATTGGATACTCATTGAGATAAAGCTGGGAACAATAGACCCTGTGGACTACTGGAGGGAAGAGAAGGAGAGGAGTGTACCTATCAGGTACCTATTGGGTACTATGCTTAGTACCAGGGTGATGGGATGGATCTGTACCCCAAACACAGCATCATGCAATATACCCATTTAACAAACCTGGACTTACGCCCCCTGTATCTAAAAGTTGAAATTATAAGATAAATAAATAAAATGGTTAATTTCATGTTATGTGTATTTTATACCAATAATTTTTTTTTTTTTTTTTTTTAATGTGAGCTGGGGACCAATGATTGACAAAAGATACGGAAGGACTTTAGTGAAGGGAAACAAGATGGCTGCTGTGCATGATTTATAGAAACGAGGTGCTAGGTTGACCCTACAGCTCACATACCATCAACTTTGCAGTCTTGCTATTTGGTGTGTGGTCTGAAGACCCAACAGATTGGGGTCACCACAGGGTGCTTCAAAAGGAAGACTCTTGGGCCTCAGGCCAGGCCTACTGCATCAGAATCTGTGCTTGAATGAAATCTCAGTGGTACGAATGTGCCTTACAGTTTGAGAGGCAGTCTTATGAGGAGAGCTCCTTTCCATACCTCACTTGATCTACTGTGTCTGAACTTCGGTCAGTCCCTTTTGGAACAAACAAAGAGACTTACACATGAGATGGACCTCATGGGAAAAGGAAGAGAACATGTGTCAACCTTCTCTCATGTGAGACAGAGCGGGTCATGTGTAGGGGACCAGCTTGGTTTGAGGCCATCACTTTGAGCAGTGACGAGAGATATGCGGAATTGTATAGAATGTCATTTAGAGGCCGGGCGCGGTGGCTCAAGCCTGTAATCCCAGCACTTTGGGAGGCCGAGGTGGGTGGATCACAAGGTCAAGAGATCGAGACCATCCTGGTCAACATGGTGAAACCCCGTCTCTACTAAAAATACAAAAAATTAGCTGGGCATGGTGGCACGTGCCTGTAATCCCAGCTACTCAGGAGGCTGAGGCAGGAGAATTGCCTGAACCCAGGAGACGGAGGTTGCGGTGAGCCGAGATCGTGCCATTGCACTCCAGCCTGGGTAACAAGAGCGAAACTCCGTCTCAAAAAAAAAAAAAAAAAAAAAAAGAATGTCATTTAGATATTTATGAGTCAGAATGGAATAAAAAGAAAAGCATTAAGAATGAAATCAAGCATAAAAATTCTTTATTCTTGCAAATAAAGTGGTAAGCAAACTGGTGCAGGGTGTGGGTTGTAGATAGACCAGGTGAGGTTGTATCTTGAAACCAGGAAGAACCCGTGGTGTCTAAAGGGCACGGACTTGGAGTCATTGTTGCTGTGGCAACTACAAAAAGAGTTCAGAATGTTGCAGGCCAACACCATGGAGAATATCAAATCTTATACCTCAGCTAAACCTCTGGGCAATATGAACCCTTGTTCCACTAAAGTAGTGACCTCCTTTTGTTGGGGTGGTGTAGCTATTTTCTTAATCAGTCTTTTAATTTTGTTAAGGTTTAAAGTAGAGCGGTAGGGAAGTAAATCAGACCTATAGGGTTAGCATTTTTGTAAAGTCAGGAGGATATTTTTATGATCTTGAGGATAATATATGTTTGTTTGATATTTCAAATATTTGTAAGGACAATTTGACCTTTTAGGGAATTATGATCCCAATTTAAACAGTCTAATTTGTAGTTTTTAGTTGAAAGGCATAAGGATGCCTTTAAACACCTTTTGATTAAGGCTGTAAACCATTACTCTAGTTACATTTTGCTAGACTCATGTATTTGAGAACATTTTGTTTGGTAGAAGCATTTGAAGTGCTAAAAAAGATCCAGTATATTAAGTATGTAAATGCAGTTTGAAATTTTTAACGGAATTTAATTAACTCAATATGTAAATGAAAGTGGTTGGGAAAGTTAGTTCCTGCAGCTTTAGTTGACAGAGCTTTAATTTCCTTGAAATTGAGTTTAAACTTTACTCAATTTATAAATGGAGTAATAAGATTTCTATGTTGAACTTTAAGGTTTAAGAAAACTAGGTTTTAGAATTAATTAAAATGTGTTTCTTTAATTTTATATTAATTAAAAACCAAATATATCTGCAAATAGTCTTCATTATGCTCTAAAGTTTCCATTAAGGACACCAAATATTGATATTGACATAAACAATTAAAATTGTTATCAGTATCTAGCAAGTTTAGAGACATTTTAAAACAAAGAACATTTTTTAAAGTGTGGGACAACCTCTTGCACTAAAACTTTCAAAGGCATATTCGTCAGGTTATTCATGAAATACTCCTGCATACGATCTGTAAATAACTGGCCAATAGACTCCACAAGTGGCCCCCAGTCACTGCCACCACCTGCTTCCCTCCCAGAAACCTGTCATAGGCAGAAGGGACAAGCCACCTGATAAACCAACAGGCTGATGTCTGCTGATCCGTGTATTAATTAGAGTGTCAACAGTTTGGTCACTTTCCCCTCTCCAAAAGAGCTCAAGTCTATTTTACAAATTGCAAATGGCTTGGAAATTCTATTTTTAAAACAATGCTCAGTTTTCGAGGAGTATATTTTCTGTGCAGCATGAGGCTGCTTTCCCGATGATGGGGAGCCAGCCAGACACCTGAACTGAAGGAGGACTTGGGCTTCCACAGACTGCCAAAAATGATCTCTCTTTCAGACAGAGAATTTTGATTCTGTTAGCTCTTCTGAGGTCTTAAAAAGAGAAAAAAAAAAAGATTCACCACCAACCCTTCCTATAGAAATTGCTTTGCCCCTGAGGGCAGGATAATCCAGCTGCCTTAATAATAGAAATCCCTGTGGAACTGGTCTACTGATGCCCCACTGGGTGCTTAATGCTGACAAGTCGGCCCCTTTCCTCGCCTTTGTGAAGAATTTGAGATAAGGAGTGAAGGAGGCTCATACAAAGAGCATGTTTCTTCCAAAAGGCGAGGTCTTAAGGCTTTTGTTTCTAAATCAATGTGTCCGGTGCAAGGTAATGGTATTAGCCCCTCCCCTTCTTCCTGAAGGCTTTCCTTCCTGCAGCTTGTCTTCTTCCGTGCCTTGTCATATCTCGTAATGCTGGGCTTTGTGTGTACTGATTTATCTTCCTCCCACCTCAGACTGCCTCAGAGCAAAGCCTGGGTTGTATTCATCCTTGTATTCCCCCGTGGCTTCTTCCAGAGAAACTTGCATGTCGTAAGTGCTCAAAACATATTTGTGGAATGAAGAAATGAATGAGCTGTCATAGCCACTGATCACATTAAAAATGTTTACAGAGAGGAGCATGGAAGTGCTGTGTTCTCAGTTTGCTTCAAGTTCTGAGTTGGTTTTTTTTTTTTTTTTCCTCCTACTTTAAATTTTAAATGTAGGGACTGGGTGCAGTGGCTCCTGCCTGTGGTCCCAACACTTTGGGAGGCTAAGGTGGGAGGATTACCTGAGCCTGGGAGTTAGAGACCAGCCTCGGCAACATGGAGAAAATCCATCTCTACAAAAAATGCAAACATTAAGCGGGCACAGTGGCACGTGTCTGTGGTCCGAGCTACCTGAGAGGCTGAGGTGGGAGAATTACTTGAGCCCTGGAGTTCCAGAATGCAGTGAGCTGTGATTGTGCCACTGCACTGCAGCTCTGGGTGACAAAGCAAGACCCTATCTCAAAAAACAAAAAACTTTAAATGCAGAATTAATCCTACTCTTGTGACTATGGTGTACTCTTAAATATGTGCGTATATATATATATATATATATATATATATATATATATTTTTTTTTTTGAGATGGAATTTCACTCTTGTTGCCCAGGCTGGAGTGCAATGGCATTATCTCGGCTCACCGCAACCTCTGCCTCCTGGGTTTAAGCGATTCTCCTGCTTCGGCCTCCCAAGTAGCATGTGCCACTATGACTGGCTAATTTTGTATTTTCAGTAGAGATGGGGTTTCTGCATGCTCGTCAGGCTGGTCTTGAACTCCCAACCTCAGGTGATCTGCCCGCCTCGGTCTCCCAAAGTGTTGGGATTACAGGAGTGAGCCACCATGCCTAGGCAATATATGTATATTTTATGTATAAAGTCTATTCTTTTTTGAAGGAAATTTTGTATTGTTTTAATTATTTTTATGTACAGAAAACTCAACAGTGTACATTTAACCCGGTTTCGTGGCAAGTTCTTTACCCTTTGCCTATTCGAGCTAGGCAATGTGAGCCACAGACTTGGGACCCAGGACATTGCCTCCCCAATGATGGCAGATCTCATCATATCTGTCTTTGTAATTGGTCCTGATAGCTTCCACCAGCTTAGCCAAAGTGCCTTTGTCTTCCGAGTTAACCTGTGTGAAGACGACGGTGGTGCAGGTCTTCCTGTGGACTAGACGTCCCAGTCTTGCCTTCCCTCTGATAATGCAGTAAGGGACTCCCCTTTTATGACACAGAGCAGGCAAGAAGACAGCCAGCTCAATGGGATCCACGTCGTGTGCAATCACCACCAGCTGAGCTTTCTTGTTCTCCACCAAGGCAGTGACGGTGTTAACTCCTGCTTGAAGGACAGGTGGTCTCTTACTGGGGACATCCCTTTGCCAGCCGCTTTCTTCCTGGCCCGGGCCAACAGCCTCTGCTTTTTCTCTTGCTTTGTCTCTGGGCTCTACTCGTGGGCCAGCTTAAGCAGCTGAGTAGCTGTTTGGCGGTCCAGGGCCTGGGTAAACTGGTTAATTGCAGGGGGCACTTTCAGCCGCTTATGGAGGATGGCTCTCTGTCGCTGCAACCTGATATAGCAGCAGGGCCATTTCACAAAGCAGGTGAGGTTTCTTTTGGGCTGGATGTCCTGTCCAATGCCAAAATTCTTAGGGCTTTTCTCAAACAGGGGATTCACCACTTTCTTGGCCTCCTGCTGCTTCACAACAGCAGGCACCGGAGCCACCTTCTTTCCCTTGGCCTTCTTTTCTTTCAGCATCTTGGGCGGTGGAAGGAGAGACTAAAGTCCATTCTTAATTGTCTGCAGTAGTGGAGAGAGAATTATGAACTTAATTGGAATAGGTCTCAGAGATTATCTCGCTGACTAGTAACTATTATTATTAATGTCTGTTATTCATTAAGCATTCACTATATGCCAGGCCTGTGCTAAGCACTGTATATATCTCGTTTAATGATGGAAACAACCTCATACAGTAGGTAGTATCATTAGTTCTACTTTACAGATCAAGAAAACGTACCCCATGATATTATTTAACTTACCTTGGGTGGCAGAGATAATTTAAATATTTTTATAACTGACTAATTACAGTAGATTTATCTTTCCAACACATTTCATCCAAGCTAAAATGAAAATCATTTATATTTTTAGAAAATAGAAATTGATGATGGCAAGAAGTGGTCCAGAAGTGATTGCAGCCAGCCGGAAATTAAAATTAGCTTCAGGTCATGAATTTGTCCTTTTAGAGAATGTTATTGAATACTTAGCATGTGTAACACACTGTTCTGGGTTATGTGGGTGGATATGGGAGGCATGAAATTATTTAGGACCAGGTTCCTTTCCTCAAAGAGCTAAACATCTAATAATGGGGTTCTGCCCTGATTTCACATAATAACAATATAAGATAGAGCATGTTGGCCCATGACGGCAAAAACAGAGGAAGTGCCCAGGTTCTGTTAAGGGACATATCACTCACAGCTGAGGAATTAGGAGGTCTTCAGAAAGGCACTTAAGGGGCCTTGGAGGATGCAGAATCAGGTTTGGAGGCGATCAGGGTGGGAGGACGAAGGGGCCCTTGTGACCAGGAGAAGAGCATCCGCATGTGCAAAGTGTACAGCCAGTCTGAAGGAGTCACCCAGAGCTTCGGCCACTCTCTTCCCAGCCCGGCCACTTCTTCCCCACACAGAGGGTTTATGGCAGGAGTACAGGGCCAGCTGCCACACCTGCACTCTGATTTGTCTTTTCCTCCATCCCTGACCTCTCTCTGTCTCTTGGTTCTCTCCCAGTAGCTCATACACATGTCCAGGTTTTCTCCATCTTAAAAAAAAATCCTCCCATAATCTTGTATCTCCTTGTGGATATTTGTTTCTTTCTATCACGGTCTTCAAAAGCAAGTCTCTGTTTGTGGTCTCCATGCTCTTACCCTCTATTCTCTCCTCATCCCAGTGCAATTCCGCTCTTGTACTCGGTGCCCTCACTCTACCCTACCAGGCACCCCACCTCCCACCCTGTGACTCTCAAGAGAGAGAACGACTTGCCAGGATGATCGATAGCCTCCTCATTGCCAAATCCCATGGACATGACCTGACTGGCAGGTGACATGGCCGCTCACATTCTTTTTCATGAAAACTTGATTCTCTCTGGCTCTGGCCTCTCACTTGCTGTCCTTTGCTCCTCTTTCTTTATTCTATTTTTTTTTTTTTGAGAGAATTTCTCTCTGCCACCCAGGCTGGAGTGCAGTGGCATAATAGCTCACTGCAACCTCCACCTCCCGTGTTCGAGCGATTCTCCTTCCTCAGCCTCCCAAGTAGCTGGGATTATAGGTGCATGCCACCACACCCAACTAGTTTTCGTATTTTTAGTAGAGATGGGGTTTCACCATATTGGCCAGGCTGGTCTCGAACTCCTGACCTCGTGATCTGTCCAGCTCGGCCTCCCAAAGTACTGGGATTACAGGCATGAGCAACTGTGCGTGGCCCTTTGCTGACTCTTTCTATGCACAAGTTTAGAGTGGTGTCTCTAACCCTGGTATTCAGCCTGTGTTCAGTCTCAGTGCACACTCAGTCCTGAGTGAATTTGCTGAACCTGATGGACTCAACCACTGTCTCTGTTCAGATAAGTACAAGAGAGCTCTAACAAGGACTATCAAATCCGTGCTTCCTGAACTCCCTTTAGGCACCAGGTCTCTGATGCCCAAATGCTCATACTCTCTCCTCGGCTACCAGACCAGACATCTCCACCTACATAGGCCACAGTTCCTCAAACTTGGCATGCTCAAATGCAGCAGATCCGTTATACCCTCATGCCGGAATCTAGATTTCTGCTGAGTTCCCCATCTGTATTAGCGGCACCGTTCTGAACCTATGTGTCCAAGGAGAAAATCCAGTCCTTCTTTCCTATATCCCATTGGCGTCTTGTTGAAGCTATGTCTCAAAGCTCTCTGGGAGCTATTTTTTTCTTCTCCACTCTCACTGCTATCCCATCTAAGCATCTCTTACTTGGACTATCCTGAGTCTCCTGTATCATCCCATCTTCAGCATCTTTTCTTTCAAATACATCTTCCCATGCGCTGTGCTGTTAGAGTAAATTTCACAATCGTCACCAAGCTATGTTACTCTGCTGCTCATGACGCTCCATCACATGGAGGGCAAAGACCACATCCCTTAAAAGGGCATTTACGGCCCTAAATGGCTCAGCCTCCGCTCCCTTCATTCATCCATAGCCATCCAAGTTCTAGTCGCACCTGACTACTTACAATTCCTCTCTCAAGCCTTTTGCATGCCCTTTTTGTGGTTCTTTCTGGCTGGAATATCCTTGACTCCCACTCATCTAAAGAACTAATACTCCCCTCGAAAAACAAGACATTCCTGACACCTTCCAAAAGAGCTGGTGATGTCAAACTGTGAGGAGCCCCTACCGGGTCAGACTGGGACTCATTCTTTAATATCTAGGGTTGGTACAGAGAGGCCTCAGTAGATGTTGTCTTAGTTGGAGCTGCTATGACAAATTACCATAGTCTGGCCGGCCAAAACAGCAAACACTCGTTTCTTACTCTACAGTTTTGGAGGCTTGGAAGGATCTGAATCTGGATCCTTCCCAGCCTCCAGAGGTCCAAGATCAAGGGACAGACAGATCCGGTGTCTGATGAGGGCCTGCTTCATGGTTTGCAGATGGCAGTTTCTCTTTGTGTCCTCATCTGGTGGAGAGGAGAGAATGAGAGGGAAAGGAAAAGAGAGAGAGAGAACCCTCTGTGTTTCTTTTTATAAGAGCACTGATCCCATTCATGAGGGTTCCACTTTCATAACCTAATCACCTCCTAAAGACCCCACCCCATCTCCTAATACCACAGCATTGGGACCTAAGGTTTCAACCTACGACTCTTAGGGGACACACACAATCAGTCCATAACAGATGCTACAGGAAAAATGAAGTGTTAACAATCTCAAGCTTCTACCCTAATACTTTAAGGCTTTAAGCAACAAGGCTCCATGAAGAGGTTTTTTTTTATTTTTATTTTTTAATTAATTCAAAGACTCATCTGATAAAATACATGATCAGTGATAGTAAGGGGTGGTTTTCAAAGGATCTTAAACTTACTTTTTCTCGTGTTAGGTTCCTTACTGGAGCTTGGCATGGGGGAAGTGAATTCACTCTGGGTGGGAACAAGAAAGCCATTTAGGAGCCCTGCCATCCTCCCTGCAGCCTCTCTGACCTCTGACAGCAGCTCAAAGAGTCCGCTCCCTGAGACTCTCCCCTCTACCCCCTACTATTAGAAATGAAGCTGAGATGGAAATTATTTCCTTTTTTGATATATCAATTCTGTAGGTGATCAGCCACCTTGCAAAGAGATCTCTATTGTTACACAACATCATTAATGATAGCAGTCTTGTGGAGGATTAAACTGTTATCGATCTGTCATTTTTAAGAATGCTTTAGATTTGCAACATAGAATAGTGAATTTGCGACATTATAGGAACCAAATAAAAGATTAGTGTGATTAAATGAAAACCACCACCAATTAATTTAATCTAGACTAAAAACTGCAAAATGGTTACTAATACTTGTCATAATTACAATATCATTAAGGCGCCTTTTTGGGTTGTTTTTGTTTCTTTGTAAATGGGATTTAAGTCACATACCCTATGAAATGATAAATCTAACTGCGTGACTACCAGGTGCAAGAACTCGATTTGTGTGGCATGAACAGGGCTGCTAATCCCTCACTCGTTCTTTTCTGTTTGGCAGCTAAACATTTCCTGGTGTGCCCTGTAATAACAGGCAGCTGTCCTGTCAGCTCCACTGAAAAATGAGATAATAAGGCAGGCAAATGATGTCCTTTATGTCCCGAATCTACCACTTCCTGCAGTTTTCTTCTCAAATGCTTTAAGTAACAAGGATCTGTGCAATTTTCACTGTTTCTTCTTCTCAACAAGTTTGTCCAAATTCTTGGTGAATGTCATTTCCCTTTGGGACATTTAGTGGAAAAAAAGGCAGCCTGCTTCATTGCACCAGGACAGAAGGCTTCCAAAAAGCCTCTGAATGGGGTTTGTCAATGAAAATCCCCCCTCAAAAGCAACTGAGGTGATCGGAACTGTAGCTAGGGCCTGGAGGGATGGGTTTGGCTCCCATAGAAGACAACTGTTGTGGACCTTTCCGTTGTGCCACTGGAATAACTGGCCCTTTCTTCAGAAGCTGCAGTAAGAGCAACAATATCCGGCGAGTCTTGGAAAAGGGCCGCCTGGCTGGGAAAATAGCTCCAGGTGGGGAGGATCTTCTCAACCCGGAGAGCTCGGGATAGTGTACAATGCGTGCAACTTTCAGGGATGTGTAGATGACAGAGTGACGGATGCAGCAAACCACATGGCGTGTGTATACCTATGCAACAAACCTGCACGTTCTACACATGTACCTCAGAACTTAACGTATAATAAATAAACTTAAAAAAAAAATTCAGGGATGTTGAGGTCACTTGTGTCTCTGCTACATTTTACCAAAAAAGGAAGTTGAGGCTCACCCTGGAGGGCAATCTTGGCTTGAACCCAGGCATCCCAATGGCCAGTCTAGTGTTGATGCCCTTCCCTAAGAAAAGGGAGCGTTTTATAATCCATGCTGACCCAAGACTGATAACACAAGGGATCCCCCCTGCTTTAAATCCTGTTCCTAATGTTAAAGATGCTTAGTGTTCAGAGAACGTATATGATAGAAATGGATTTTCAAGGACTCATTCAAAAATCATTCATGAATCACTCAGTGGGCAGGGGTTAGAGAGACGAATAGGTCAATTGATTTTGCTGCTCAAAGTAGTGTCTCAGGAGGTGGCAATAACCAGAGAAACACATTCCAGACAGCCTAGGCATGGGGGTGGTGTGCGTGTGCAGCAGGAGGGGCTTGCAGTCTGAATCACTAAACTCTTCTTAAACAGCCCAAGAGGAAAATACTTGCTTCACTTCATCAACTTAGTCAAACTACACATACTCCACTTTTCCTCAGGAAGGAGGATCCTGCTTCTGTGACAAAGTTAGATTCTTCTTTCTCACCCTTTGGTGGGATTAGCCTTCAAAACAGCTGCAGGGACCAGGGACTGCCCTGGGGGCTGGAGACACTGTGCCTGCTGTTTGCCACAGGCTCTGGGAGGCCTGTGCAGCCACCTGGGCTTAGAGGCTAAAGACAGTGGCTGTCCTGAGCGGGGCTTTGTCTGGCCTGGCCCCAGGCAGGGTTCAAGCAGGTCTGTAGGGGAGGTACCCTGCAGAGCTGCTCACAACCCTATCATAATTTAATAAAGAGCTGAAGAGAAAAGAGGAAATTAATAAAGGGCTGAAGAAATTCACTTTCCAGGCAATAATTTTGCCTCCCCCGTCTTTGTAAGACTGTGATCAAGGTAAGATCTATGCGACATTGAGAGATCACTGTGGTTTGGTAGCATTCTGTCTCACCTTTACTGTGGGAATAAAGCACCCTTTTATTCACTTATTACTTCCTTTCTCTATCCTCCTCCCCTTTCCGACCCAAAGTTTTCTTTCCCCTCTATTCCTATTCTCAGGAAAGAATTCTACACCTAATACATAATGAGCTCTAACGGCATGTTCAAGCACTGGTTCAATTGCTTTGCAAGTATTAACTCAAATTCTTATAACAACCCAATAGTGTTTCTATTGTTATCCAACGTCACACAGCTGGATAGAATTAGGTAGAAGGAATTAGGGTTCAAATACAGGAAATCTGGCCTCAAAGTGTCTTTTATAACTCCTTTGGGAGTGGATGATCGATTCGTCCGAAAAATACACTGTGCAGTACAGTAGCCACTAATCGCATGCAGCTATTGAAAGTCGAATCTAACTTAATTAAAATTAAGCAGATTGAACAGTCAGTTGCTCAGTCACACTGATCACATTTCAGGTATCCTGCCAGCTACTGTATTGCACAGTGCAGGCACAGAGTATCTTCAGCATCACACAAAGCCTGAATGGACAGCACTGCCCTAGACAATTCCCTGCTTCTTATAATTTTATTCTGTTTAATAAGGCCAAGAATGAAAACAAAAACAATAAGAAAAAAAAACTCATGATCTTTTAAATATATAGAATAAAATGTAACTTTTGAAGATTTTTCAAGTAATATTTATAGACTAAAAAAGACGTTCTTCCTAGAAAGATGTTTCTAATGCATCCAATGTGGGTGGGGGGAACCACCCAAATACCACAGCGGTATGTAACGTGGAATGCCATTTTTGTTAAAAACACCACCACCACCACACACACACCCACACACACGCACACAGAGAAACACCTAGAAGGACAACCACGCATTGTTAACCATGGTTATACTTCTTGTGAAGTAGACGCCAGAGAAATGATGTGCAGCTAGAGGTACATTTACTTTTATAGTTTTGTTTTATTTAAAATTTTAAATAACATTTATGACTTGTTTTGATAGTAGAAAAAAATTCTAGAAAATCAATTTCATCCAATGAAAACAGATAGGAAATGTGTTTTGTAAATTACTCTGATTTGGCATTTGGATGATAAGATCTCCATCATCATAATTTTTCAAGTGCTATCCACCCTGAGGACATTTGCATTTTTTGAGAAGACAAATTCTTTTAAGTTTGAGTCACAAGACAGAGGTTGTGAGGAGAGAATTTCAGGCGGTGGGAACCCAAGCGGGACCCAGGAGAGAGCTGGGAACTTTCTTAATGCCTGAGATGCCACCACAGAGACTGCCGTTCTGTCCTCTCTGATCCAGCCACACCTATGGGTCCCCGGGACACCCCTGGTCACAGGCACTTTCAGCGTGTACTGGGTACAAGGTGCAGAGAGATGGGAGAGTGAGACTCAAATTACGGTACAGTCAGTGCAGGGGCTGGGTGTGGGTGAAGGCTCGGGCTCGGGACTTCAGATCCAACAACACGGAGCTCAAGGCTCCTGCTCAGGCCCTCACTGCTCTGAGCCACCCTCCCTTGTTGTCCCTCCACATCCAGCACCAATCAAGACAGTAGGGGGACTGAGCATTGGAGGTCAAAAATTGCCCCCACCTGCCTAGCTGAGTACCTGGCCTCATCTTCACCTCTATTTACCCTCCTGCATTTTCTTCAGGCTTTGAGATATATATACATACACTTTAAGTTCTGGGATGCATGTGCAGAATGTGCAGGTTTGTTACATAGGTATACACGTTCCATGGTGGTTTGCTGCACCCATCAACCCGTCATCTGCATTAAGTATTTCTCCTAATACTATCCCTCCCCTTTCCCCCATCCGCTGCTATCCCTCCCCTAGCGCCTACCCCCAGACAGGTTTTTTGTTTTGTTTTTAATAAAGAAAATCCCCACTAGGCTCACGTCTGTAATCTCAGCACTTTGGGAGGCCCAGGCGGGCAGATCACTTGAGGTCAGGAGATCGAGACTGGCCTGGCCAGCATGGCGAAAATCTGTCTCTACGAAAAATACAAAAATTAGCTGGGTGTGGTGACACGCCTGTAATCCCAGCTACTCTGGAGGCTAAGGCAGGAGAATCGCTTGAACCCAGGAGGCAGAGGTTGCAGTGAGCTGGGATCACGCCACTGCACTCCAGCCTGGGACATGGAGTGAGGAGACTCTATCTCAAAAAAATAAATTAAAAAAAAAAATCCCGAAATCCCAATACACACACACACACACACACACACACACACACGCACACACGCACACACACACACATTTCAACACGTGCTAAAAATATTTGCAAAAACAATTTTTAAAAAGAAGAAGAAAATCTGCACTATGATATGTTCCAACATTTCAAATCATCTACACCGGTTGGCTTTGGGGGCAAGCCCAAGTGTGGGTGTGCTCGGGTTCATCCGCGGCTCCAGAGCTGGGCTGCTTCTCCCGTTCTCCCTGCAGAGCAGCAGCTGGGTTTTTCTGCCTCACAGCAA